AAACAGACTGACCAAACCAGGAAGCAGCACTCCTCCATGTCCTCTGCATCAGCTCCTGACTCCAGGTTCCTGCCCTGCTTGAGTACCTATCCTGAGTTCCTTCAGTAATGGACTATGATGTTGAAGTGTAAGCCAAATAAATCCTTTCCTTCCCAACTTGCTTTTAGTCTTGGGGTTTCATGACAACAATAGCTACCCTAACTAAGATATCACCCAAGTGCTGTTTTCAGGAACCAGGGATATGTTTGTGCTAATTCATATCTTCAAACATATTCAGATTATATACATAACATATATTACACATAGGCTGGTGCTGGTATCAATTGTAGTTTAAGATGTTTTGAAGTTAAAAGGCATTAAAGCAGTGGTCAGAAAGAGGCATAATAAGGAATATATCATGAAAATATGCTACCAAAAGTGACAGTGACAAAGTGCCATTTTACTCTTGGTATGGAAAGTGTAAAGTTATTTTCCTTATTGCCACATATGTTCTATACATACACCATACAAGAACAGCAGAAGTTAAAATTGCACAATACAAAGTTAATGATCTTAACATTAAGAAGGTAAAACAGAGGGGGGGAGGGAGAGGGAGAGAGAGGGAAAAACATCTTTAGAATTTAAAGCTGTTCTGTAAGGAAGAGGGTTTTCTTATAACTGCAGTTTAAACTTGCCAGGAGAGATAAGAATATGACCAAGTCATTATTCAAGACTTGAGTATTTTGGCTGTTCACATAGCTAGACTCTTTAACAGCGAAAGGTAGAGTTAGGGAAAGCCAACAGCACCAAGATGAAGTGTCCTAGAGGTTGACTTACATGGTCCAAATCCATTGTACCATCTTCTTTCGCAGCAGAACATACTACTACTGTTGGAACTTTTAATGCTATAACTGGTGTTTCAAAGTTATTTGTTTGTTTCCTTTCTCCTATGGAGATAATTTTCTTGGGGAGACTGCCTTGTCTTTGTGAATTAAAACTGCTATAATGAAATACCATTAGCTAGATAGTTTATAAACAGTGGCAATTGATTTTCCCAGTTCTGGAGATGAAAACACAGGCAGACATTTATGTTTGAATGGGTCCCATGCATGGTTCCTACATAGTCATCTTTCCCATGTCAGTCTACATGGTAAAGGGCTGAAAACTCTGTGGAGTCTCTTTTATTAAGGTACTTATTCCAGTTTTGAGGTCTCTGGTCTTTTGACCAATCACTTTTAAGACCCACATCTTAATACTACTACCTTTCAAGTTAGGATTCCCTATGCAGGGAACACAAATATCCGGACCTTCTGCAGTGTTAGACTTTGTATATTTGAGGCTATCTCTGACATGAATGTCAAGCTTAATTTTTTTTCTCTTAAGATTTTTTATTATGTATACAGTGTTCTGCCTGCATGTATGCCTGCAGGCCAGAAGAGGGCACCAGATCTTATTATAGATGGTTGTGATCCACCTTGTGGTTGCTGGGAATTGAACTCATGACCTCTGGAAGAGCAGTCAGCTCTGTTAACCTCTGAGCTATCTCTCCAGCCCCAAGCTTAATTTTTTATTACTGTAGCATGAATAATAAAAACCCAGAGACACATATTCAGGTTCAACCTGAAGATCATAAAAGCAAAGCAGCCAAGTCACCAAAGAGCTGGGAGATCCTGTCCTCAATGTGGCTGGAGACTAATTGTCCTGAGACTGAATACTGAATCCCACATGAGACCTTGAGCTCCTTCTTATATACCTCTCTAATGCTGGAATTAAAGGTGTGAGCTCTATTTCTGTTTTAGACTGACTCACACTCATGTAGCCCTGAGTGGCCTTCAACTCATATAGAGATCTATCTGCCTCTGTCTCCTGAGTTCTGGGATTAAAGGTGTGTATCACCACTGCCAAGCTTCTATGACTATGGCTAGTTTTGCATTCTGATCTTAGTAGCTTTATTAGATCATAAACTATATCACCACATATTCCCATAGTAATTGTAAAGATTTATGGAGTACAGTACATTGTGATATTTAAAGGAATGCACACATGGTATCCTGATCAAATCAAGGTGATTAGCATTTCTTGCCCTTTCTTTCTTTTTTGGCCAGCATTTCTTAAAAGCAAGTGATTGGTTACTATAAACGTAGTTGCCTCCACTGTGCTGTAGAACACTAGAACTTACTCCTGTCTGTGTTTTGACTTCCCTCTATCATTCCTTTTCCACACCCTTCTCAATCTCAGTAATCACTATTCTACATTCAGATTTATATTTTTAACATTTACATATGAGAAAGAATATATTTGTCTTTATCTGGCCTCTTTCACTTAATGGTATGTCCTCCAGTTTCATACGTTTTGCATCACATGGCAGGATTTATTCTCTATGGCTGAATAATCTGTGTGTGTATGTCCCGTATTTTCTTTATCCACTCATTTCCCACTGTACCTAGGTTCATGCCACATCTTGCCTGTTATGTAAACATTAATGTTATTGCTTGCACACTGCCACTTCTCCCAACACACACAAATTGATAGTGATTTCATCGTCACCTTTGTCTATATAACCCAGTAGTAGAGTTCCAGGATCATATGATAGGTTTATTTTTAATTTTTCATGGAAATGCCATTCTGTCCTCCATAGTGGCTATACTCATTTACATTCTCTCCAACTGCATAAGAATTCTCTTTTCTCTGCGTCTTTTGCAGCCAGTGATTGGTAGTTTTGATAATAGTCATTTTAAGTTGGGTAAGATATTTCATTGAGGTGTGCTTGTCGTTTGTTTTTCAGATAAACCTAATGTAGCCCAGACTGACCTGAAACTCACTACATACTTGATAAACTTGAATTTCTGGTCTCCTGCTTCTACCTCCCCTGTGCTGGAATTATAAGTGTGCACCACCACACATGGTTTATGCCTTGTTAGGGCTAACACCTAGGGTTTTATGATTGCTAGGCAAATACTCTGACAGCTGTGCTATAATCAGTCCTGTTTGCTTGTTTTAAAATAGCATCTCTTTGAATAGCCTGGTCTAGCTCTGGTTATTTTTTGTATAAGATGGTATTAGATGAGAGCAAGATGTCAATTTTGAATCTTCTCATAGAAAATCCCAGTTCCATTTATTGAGAAGGCTGTCTTTTCTCTCCAGTGTTTATTTTTGATGCCTGTGTTAAGAATCAAATGGCCATAGATATAAGAGCTTTATTTCTGGGATCTCAGTTTTGTCCCATTCAGCTTTGTGTCATGTTTCTTCTAGGCATTTTTGTTGTTGTTGTTTGTTTTATGCATATGAGTATTTTGCCTGCATGTATTCTTAACTACTGAGTCATTTCTTCAGCCCCTTGAGTTTTTTAGACAGAATCATCCTTTGTAGCCCAGGCTGGCCCCCATCTTGTGATCCTGCTGTCTCCCAAGTACCTCGTCACTCTGAATCTACACAAATACCAGGTCAGGTCATGAGACATCTTTTTTTTCTTTTTCACTTCTCTTTTTATTTAAAAAAAATGCATTTTTCATTTTATATACCAACCCCAGTTCGACCTTCCCCCTCTTCCTGTTCCCCCATCCTCTCCTCAGATGGGTAAGGCCTTTGGAGAGTCAACAAGTCTGGCATATCAAGCTGAAGCAGGCCCAAGCACCTCCATCTGTATCAAGACTGAGTAAGGGAATGAGCTCCAAAAAGCTGGTTCATACACCTGGGATAGGTCCCCCAACAGATCAAGCCACATAACTGTCACCCACATTCAGAAGGCCTAATTTGGTCCCATGCAGGTTCCCCAGTTGTCAGTCCATAGTCCGTGAACTAGCTCGAGTCAGCTGTCTCTGCAGTTTTCCCCACATGCCCTTGACCTCCCTTGTTCATATGATCCCCTCCCCCTTCAACTGGATTCCGGAGCTCAGCCCAGTGCTTGACTGTAGGTCACTGTGTCTGCTTCCATCAGTTACTGGATGTAGATTCTATGGTGGCAATTAGGATAGTCACTAATCTGATTAAAGGGGAAGGCCCTTTCGGACATCCTCTCCACTAGTGCTAGGAGTCTTAGCTGGGGTCATCCTTGTGGACTCCTGAGAATTTCTCTAGCACCAGGTTTCTCCCTAACCCCAAAATGGCTCCCTCTATCAAGATGGATCTTTAATTGTTCTCTCCCTCTACTCCTCTCCCAACTCAGTCTTCTTAATCCTTCATGTTCCCATCTCCCATCCCCTCAGTCTTCTTAATCCTTCATGTTCCCATCTCCCATCCCCTCTCTTCTATCCTCCTTCCCAGTTTAGCCAGGAGATCTTAACTATTTTCCGTTCCTGGGGTCCTCCATGTGAGATGATTCAGCAGGTAAGAGCACTGACTTGTCTTCTAGAGGACCCAGGTTCAATTCCCAGCATCCAACTAGCAGCTCATACCTGTCTGTATCTCCAGTTACAGGGCTTCTGACAGTCACTTTCTCTTCTCTTAATATAGGAGGGAAAGAAGATAAAAATACCAGGCTGTTTCTTATTATCAATAATGTATGTGATTTACAACTTTATTATTACTTGCTTATAAAGTTGTTATAAAATAGATGGCACTGGTCACAGCTATGCAAACCTTAACACTTATAAATTTAATGTATTTCTAGAGTAGCTTTATATCAGAAATAGCACATGATTCTGTAAAAACCCTGTTAAAGTAATCATTTTACTTGTTGACTTAGGCAAAGTATATGGAATTATGTCCCCAAAACAAGCGTCCTGTTTTTGGGTGGTGAAAGATCTTGTTAATGTTACCCTCCATGATGTCTGTGAAGCAGACTGCTTGTGTTTAAAGAATATAGTTTATGAAATGTTAAAATCCCCATGCCTTAAACTATATACCTTACTATATTTCCTGCAGATTGGGTGTCAGTTTCTCTAACCTTTTATTTCTAATGGACTATGGTTAATTTTTAAGTAGTTTGACTTAAAATGGAAATCTATATATAATACAATCATTTTTCTAAATCTAGTCTCTATAGAAGCTGAAATTCATCATCATCCTTCAAAATGCAATGGAAGGTACCACGGACTATGTCTCAGCTGGCACTCAGGACATTCTTGGAACCACAGAAAGCCAGGCTCTTGGAACACCACCGGAGAAGAAAAGGACCATTACTTGGACTTGGAGGTGAATACAGAGTGGTTTGGACACCACACCTTCGGAAGCAGTGGCTCCATTTACCTGCTGTTCAGTGCCTTGCAAAGCAAAGGAATCTATTAGATGCTCAGCCACCTCAGCTGGGAGTCCTCCAGAAACGATGGGAGCAGGATATTTTACCCAAGAGGGTTTTTTCTTCCAGTGCCACATCCCAAGAAACTCCATCGGAAAAAAAGGAAGAGCCAGATCCTCTACAAGACAAGTCTATTAGTCTTTATCAACGATTTAAGAAAACATTTAGACAATATGGAAAAGTCTTAATTCCTGTGCATCTAATAACTTCTGGTATTTGGTTTGGAACATTTTACTATGCAGCTATAAAGTAAGTCTTTGCTTAGTTGACTGCTTAGTTTTATCACAATGTTAATCTTCTTGTTTATACTGATAGCCTTAAATAGTTTTTATTTTATTATCTATACATATGTATGTGTGGGGGCAAGCATGTGGAGGTCAGAGGAAAACTTGCGAGAGTGAGTTCTCTCCTTCCACCTTGTGTGCCCAAGACTGAGCTCATGTCAGGTTTGGAGGTGGGCACCTGTACCCACCAACCATCTCACTGGCCCTTAATTTCTTTTTAAGATTGATTTTGTTTCAGATATGCTTGTATATCTGTGTGAATGCAGGTGCCCATAGAGGCCAAAGGCATCAGACTCCTCTAGAGCTGGAGTTACAGGTGTTGTGAGCTGCCCTGTGTGGGTGAAAGGAACAAAACTCTGGTCCTGTGCAAGAACAGCATACAGTATTACCCACTGAGCTCTTTCCAACCCTTCTCTCTCTCATGCCTTGATAGAGGAAAACTAACTTGCAGCTGTTTTCACATTTTATTGAGAATATCTAACACTTGTTTATGGGCACAGGTGCTTTGCTCAGTTTTTAACTGCCATCTTCATTTACTCCTTAACCAAATACAGTAAGTGGTGCAGTTCTTTGCATTTATGAATATGGAAACAGTTTAGGGGGAGGGAAATAAACTAATTCAGCTGATGAGAGGTAGAGCTTACACTGAAACTGAGTAGGTTTGTTTGGTCTTGGAGCCATCTCCTGGTCTCATTGCTGACAGCTTTGCATGTTTAGGAGGACTCAGAAGTGAGGTCATTGTTGTTTTATTTATTGTTGGGTGGATGGGTAGACCCATGCATGTGGACTTCAGAAGATAACTTGCAGGAGTCACTTCTCTCCTTCTGCCATGTGGGTCCCAGGAATGAACTCGGATTGGCAGGCTTGGCAGTGAACACCTTAACCCTCCAAGCCATCTCACCAGCCCAAGTACTAGGTTTTAGAATTGAACAGAACCTTGAGTTCTATTGTTACATGTTTCTATGGTGTTTGTACATGTAAAAAGCTACTTGTTTTGGTGGGGGTATGGAAATTTGTGGAAAATTCACAGGTTATCTTTTGCCAGAGCCTAGCTAACATGAATTCATCACAGTCTGAGACTGATTATTCGCTCTGATTCATAGCATGGTAAGACATTTTGTTCTGGGCAGAAGTGAGACTGGTGGGCCTACCCTCTGGTGTTGGTTTAAAAAAAAAAATAAAGTGTTAAAAGGCAGGAATTGGAACAAAAAGATGCATTGAAAGGTGAGGTGTATTCATCACCCTGCTAGAAAGTGGGGAACCTTACTGCTGCCCTCAGAGGCTACATGCTTTGACCTGAGGAATGGTCTAGTCATGGGAAGCCACTCGTTTACTCTTCTAATCAAAGTCCATTGATTATTAATGCATGGGTGTGTATAATGATTTGGTGTTAAGGCATTAACAAAATAAACCAGATATTTATATGGAGTTCACCCCTTGGCAGAAAAGCTGATGAGCCTGCTGAATGGAAAATACTGTTACCCAAATTTTAGGGTCAAATCCTGGACCTAGGCTTACCCTCCTTTAATACTCTAAAAGACAAGTAATGGTAAATAGCAGAGAAAGCTGATTTATTCAGTATGACCAATATGGGTCCAGTCGTGACCAGCCGCAAACACAGGCCTGAGTCCATCTTTGTGGTACTGATGTAAGGCTTAGGTTTAACTAGAAGACAACAGGTAGGCATAACTAATCATTCCTGGTCAAAGTGTGGTCTCATCCATCACTGTCCATCGTCTAGGTTCACATCTGTTCTTCAGAGTCAACAAGCTCCCCCTTTGGCTGGCCTCCAGGGCTCTAGCATTTTCCTTCAGCAATGACTCTTGAGGCAATTCCAGTCCTTGGGGACCACTGTCTCAACAGTCTGATAGCTGAATGCAGGAGGACAACTGTCTTCCTTTAAGTACCTTTCCTCCTGCCAAGATAGGTCAATGTCTGTCCCAAGATGGTAGGAAATGGAGTGTTCTTCCTGGGGAACAAGAGGTTGGGGTATTCTTCGATGAAGTTCTAGACAGGTTAAGTATGTAATTAGTGCTATTCTGTTTCTTTGCATTATATTTTTTGTTAAAGACATTTTCTGCATGTGTTTAACATTTGTAAAAGTCCTCAGAACTGCCCTATTTTTTGACAGAAGGTATTCAGTTCTTACAGCCATTTAGTCCTGCCATCTGGTATGTTGCTTTAGACATATTACATTTTCTTTTTTTGAGCCACTTGAAGATTCTTGTGATTCAGTATTGTCAAAATTCACATTTTCTCCCAGTTGTTTCTGTTCTCCGGGAATACCTTATGTCTTTAGTTAATTGAATATGAGGTTCCTGTTTGGCCTATTGTAGCATTTATCCAATTATTCTTTATCAATAAAAGCTTGAAAATCAGATTTTAAGGTAAGAACCTGAATGAGCAGAGAAGCAACCAGTGACATCCTCTCTCTCCTTCTTCAGTCCAGAGGCAGGGATCCTCTCTCAGCCCTGCCTTACTACTTCCTGTCTGTCCTCTAGATTCTCTGTGTTAATCTTGGTTAACTCCACCCTCTGACTCTAAGCAAGCTTTATTGTCAAAACATAATCAAAATGTACGTTTCCCTCTTTATTTATATAAAAAAGTGAAGGCTTTAACTAACATAGTAAAACTATATACAATAACTCTATACAAATATGTACATGTAAGAATTATATTAACAATGTCCAGTCCATTTATTTGCATTTGGCAAATTCAGAGAAAATATTCCATTATCTATCCTATCTTGGTGAGTCCAAAGTGTTGTACCTAATTCACTTTCTATCCTAACTTGTATTTACCAACCCAAAATTATCTTTTTTTTTTTTTTTAATTAGTTCAAGTTAGGGAACAAGTTTGTTTCACATGTAAGTCCCTTCTCCCTCTCCTCACCCCAACATACTCCCCACCCCATCTACTCACCACTCCCCAGGCAGGGTAGGGCCCTCAACGGGGGCTCTGCAAAGTCCGCCAATCTTCCTGTGCTGGGCCTGGGCCCCCAAAACTATCTTTTTAAACCGTAAAACACTTTCTTAGATAAACAATTTAAGCTTTTTTTTTTCTTTTTGGTTTTTCGAGACAGGGTTTCTCTGTGTAACAGTTCTGGCTGTCCTGAAACTTGCTCAGTAGATCAGGCTGGCCTCGAAGTCACAGAGATCCACCTACACCTCTTTTGTGAGTTTCTTTTCTGAATTTGTTAACGAGGGAAACTAACTAACTAGTCTTCAGCCCCATCAGAAACTCAGGAAGTTTACCAGAGTAAACAGAAGGTGCAGAGCAAACAACTTCCAAAACTATAGAAATAACAGAGACATCTGGCTGTCTGGATAGTCACCCAAGTTTCCTCTGTAGTGTTGGGGCATTCATCTTTGACTTACAGGCCTGCAATCTAGAATGTCTGACAGACTTTTCTGTGAAGCAGGGATTTTGAAGGACTGTCCTACCTTGTCTTGGCAAAGTTGGGCAGTCACTTTTCTTTTGTGTCCTGCTTGTTCAGTTTGGAGAGCATACTGTCAGCAGTTGAGGCAAGGACAGTTTCTTGCCCACATGGCTAGCTTTGCCACATTGAAAGCAAACTCCATAGAAGGTTCTCCAATACCCTCATCCTTGTGTGAAGTAAATTGGTGTAGCCAGGAGCAGACATTTCTCACTGTCATGTTTAAAAGCCTTATGTTACTAAAACATTTTAAACACAATATTCTGTAGGTCTCTGAAGTTTTTTAAGATCATCCGTCTATTCAAAATATATGTTTTATCTTGAAAACATACCTAGCATGACAAGTTAGATTGTAATAGGTGACTAACAAATAACTTGCATGTCTTTATTATCCTAAATAATTTGTAATAATAACTTTCAAAAACAACCTTAAATTTGTATCAGTATACAAAAAATCTTAGAGCAGAAACATATATACAGTATAACAAAACTAACCTCAAATTTGTATCAACATACAAAATCCATACCAATGTAAAATATTTAAGACTAGTAATTGCTGTTTTGGCTTAAAAGTAGATTCAATAATCCATCCTTCTATTGTTTCTATGTCCATCCCCTTTTTCTTTTCAGAATGAGATCTCTGAATTTAATCTTTTTTGCTTAGTTCCCTACCTGACTATGACCAATAACAACTTACAACCAACCCCTGTAAATGATAAAAAAAAAAAAATTCATAACCCACTGAGAGACCAAAAAACCATCCACCCCCATTTCTTCAGAATGTGGGCATTGTATTTTCTAGATTGCTTCCTGTTATCTGGGGACAATAGGATCTTTAGGGGGACCCTGAGAAAATTGGGACAGTGGTCAAGTCCTGGGAGAGCTAGCCTTATTATTTTTTTTGTTTAGTGTGATGGGAAAGCGTAGAACTTATCTGAAGTCTTGGCTAGAGTAGTCTTTGAGACTGGACCATCTTAGCTAGCAGCTTTGAAGTTGTTCTGAATACAGAATTTCGAAGAAACTGCAACAGAGGCATTCTGAGAGGCTACTTGTCTTTATTGGTTTTTGGTCCTTTTGTTCTGAAAATATACAAACTTTTAAAGGTGACATATATATCTGCATTAAGACAAGTATGGAATTGTGGTGTATAAAAAATCAGTTAAAGATGATTTTGTTTCATGTTTGAGCAGATAGAAGGCATCTGTTAACTTTATAAGTCTGTTTGGATTGCATAACTAAACTGTAATATATTTATCCATGCCATATGAAAGAATGGCATGTAATAAGTCATGAGGAGTCTGTAGCCAAGAAAATTTGTCTCATCCAGTTTTTGAGCTGTTCCCATATTGAAGGATCAGCATATATGTCACCTATGTTGTCCTTTTGGCTTTTTCCCTCATGTCTATAGCCAAGATCCTCAGGAGGTCTCCCCCAGTCAAATCTGATCTCCATTAACTTGAAAGGAATCCATAGCTTTTCATTTCCTGTTGAAACAAAAGCACAATCTCTTTCCCCAATGCAACACATTTTCCGACTTCCATTCTGAAGTTAAGACATCTTTAAAATACATGGGTTGGTTTACTTTAGCAGTTTCCATAATCAAATGTCTCTCAGTGGCTATTGTTGTTTGTTCATTAGCATTTAAAAAATTCAAAGTCAACAAAGTACCATACCAGATCCAGACACCCTGTGTGTTTCCTATCTTTGCGGCTTTTTTAAAAATACTACTTTACTCTTTCTTTAGAGACTTTATTATTTTTAAACTATTTTTTTATGGCAGTCCATATTTTCTTTCCTTTCTCCAGCACCTAAAGCACCTTTTTAAGCATGCTGTACCTTTTTAGAGGTTTGTGGAGTTTTTTGTTTGTTTGTATCTGGACTTGCCTTTCTGCATGTCTTCAGCCTTCTGAACCAAGTCTTAAACATCTAGGCTACTGCAACATAGCTCTAGTGACTGGCTTCACCTTCCTTGGTACCCAGGAGCCTAGCCTCATGCCATGATACTGGCAGGAACCATATTTACCACCACAGCTCTAGGAAGTTTCTAAGTCCATGCTGTGGGTGGGCATTTCTACCTGATCTTCTGCCACCTAGTGGCACACTTCTCTGCTGCTCGGAAACCTCATTCAAGTACTTGTAACAGGCTCTTAAAAGAGCCACTCCTCTGTATGCTGCTAGCACTGAAAAGTTTCCATAGTCACCAGGAAACTTTCCCAGGCCTTATGTGAATATACATTGACAGACAATGGGTGCCATTTGTAGCATTTATATAATTATTCTTTATCAATTAAAACTTGGGAGTCATATATTGGGATAAAACCTTAATGATCAGAGAAGCCACCAGTGACCTCTCCTCTCCCCTTCTTCAATCCAAAAGGGCTGAGATCCTCTCTCAGCCTCGCCTTATGACTCCTGTCTCCTATGTCCTCAGTCCTCCAAATCCTCTATGGTTAATTTTGGTCAGCTAGTGGCTAGCTCCACCCTCTGATTCCAAGCAAGCGTTATTGTCGAAACATGATCAAAATGTCACACAAATTAAAAAGAATTTCTTCTTTTTAATTCTCTTTGCTTCTTTGATAAATTATGTTATTGAAAAAACAGACCCTAAATACTCTGGAGATAATTATACTTCAGATTTCTTTAGTTCACTTAAAGCATCATGAGTGATTCTGTCGACCCTGTGAATACATAAACTTGTCTTTCCCCTTTTTCTGTAAAATGCTGTGTCAGAATATAGAGGTAAGACTGCCTGAGTTAAAGTCACACACCTTGGGCATCCCAGCTTGGCCCAGGACTTTTGGTCAACATGGACTCTGATGCCCAGACCACCACTTACTGCCCATCATGACAGCCTGTCTTAATGGGTACAGATTATAAATGATTGAAAGTTCACATATTTGAGTGGATGGCCTAACCACCACTAATACTTAGAAAATATCCTTGTCGACAGAAGAAAACAGAATTGGTATGTGTTCCAATGGGAATAGTTTACTATCGGGTTGAATTGGTTGTATTAAGCTCTAGTTTTCCATCTAGCTAACAAAAACATTGTAGTTCTTTCAAGAGTGTTCTAACTGGAAAACACTCTCTTCCTTGTTGGTCACTTTACTATTAAAAGAAAGGGAGAAAATACTGTTTCTGGAGGGATGGACATTGGTATCACCGTTGTATTTCTGACTTAGTTACTCCTACAACCTGAAAGCAAAATCTCTTTCTGTATTTAGCTAAGCAGCAATGTTCTGGAGCCCTTAATGTATTTATTTCAGACAGAGCTAAATTATGCTAATGGGTGTGTTTTATACTGAGCTTCCTGACTGCTGCTGTCTGGCAGAAGGTGGCAGAGATCTGTGTTCTCCAAGCATAAGTATTCTGTATAGTCACATATGGCTCAGTAACAACTCTGTTGTCCCTGCTTTCAGATGTGTGTCCATAGACTCGGCTTCCTAATCCTCTCCACCACAGCTCTGCTGATGTTTACTGTGCTTCCTCTAGATAGTGAATGTTCTTTAGACTTTGTTGAACTGTCTGTAAACTGACAATTAGTAAACACGCATTCCTGCCAGGCCAGAGAGTGGCAAACACTGGATCTTCTGGTTTGATTCAGATTCTTATCTTTATGACAAAAGTTTTCTTATTTTCTTATTTGGTCAAATTTTGTCTTTACTTATTGTGTTAAATGTATAGATTTTATGTGCTGGGTTTATTTGGAACTAAGAAATAATGAAATAATTTCATAATCATCTTTGTGCTAGAAGATTAAACTAGTTTGTTATGATATAATGTTACTTTAAAGACTTACTCAATTAAAAGGCTAAGTCTGATACTGAGACTTTAATAGGATTTTATTGGTGTCTTAAAAGAAAATTGAATATGCAGACAAATGGTAGTATATTGAACTCCTGTTTGATTTTGAAATTTACCTTTTTAAAATAGTTCTTTATGCCATTCTAATTTTTTTTTAAATGCTAGCTAGTCTTCCTGAGTAATGATTAGTGGTATCTACTCAGTACTCCCAGCTGGCTTAGTGTCAGAAAAGTCACTTTTTCCCCAGTTAACCCAATTATTTTTATACTAAAAATAAATAGTATACAACTATCCTAGTATGTCCAGATAGTTCCCTTTCTTAATGACAAGGGAAAGAGACAGTTATAATGGAGCAACCTGAGGACTGTGCCTTAGTAGTTAAAAGGCACACTTTGAAATGTTAGGGATGGGACAAGGGATAGAAAGGGATGCTATATATTGCTGCCATAGGCTAAGCCAGACAGCTCAACCTGTGAGGCATCCCTGTAGGAGAATATTTAACCCGAATTTCCTCATGAGAAAACAATCCCTTTCCCAAATTGAGTACTTGTTATCCTGGACATGTAAAAATCTCCATAACTTCTTCCCACCTAGAGGTTCTTAAAGTCTCCAGGAAGAAGGAGACTGCAAAGAGGAAAGGCGAAGAGTATTAAAATTACAGATTTTATGCTCAAACACTTTTTTGTATTAACCATATACTACTGTGTGTTAAATTTCCTGAATGTGATAATTACAAGTTTGTGTGGATGATTCCATTTCCTGATACAGCTATATAGAGGTATAATCAGGAAAAATTAGAATGATGTGGTATAATAAAATGAGGAAACTACAATTACAGAAGTCAAGACTTATCACTTTGGGGATTTTTCTGCCTTCCAAGAATCTGTTGCAACTTTTTGTAATTATGCTTTACCTTATTATCAAATAATTACTATTACAAATATTCTTTATCTAATAAGCAATAAAAGCATGCTTTTAGAGTTGTTGGTTTTATCAAGCCCACAGAATCCTTCATTCTTTGCCTAATAGCATAGAAGTGATATTGATGAAGTTTTAAAGGTAAGAATTTAAGGTCCTGAAATGTGAGTTGAAGTGTTCTAAGGAAAATGGTATTTGGGTGAGGAGATGAAGATCAAATAAACAGTTCTGCCCCTGCTCTCCTGGTTAACTTAAAGCCATTACTTTGACTATAATAAAAGTGTCTGCTTTTTAAATAGACTAATTTGAATGGCTATGTGAGGTAAAGGATAACAGTACTACTTATGTACTGAACTTCAAGAAAGGTGTGAAGGTTAAATGAAATGAAAGCTTCAGTAACACAGAATACACAATCAGCTAGCTGCTTGCTTTTTTTGTGGTGGTGGTTTGGTTCAGTTTGGGTTTGTTTGTGTTTATTACTGTTGTTTTGCTTTTTGAGATAAGGACCTCCCTATGTAGCCCAGGCTGGCCTCCAATTCTTGAGCCCACAGCTTTAGCCTCCTGAGTAAATAACATTTAATATATATTATGCCATGTGGTCTATGTTTTCAGATAATGTCCTGAAAATACTGTCCTTAAAGGGTTGCTTATACCTGACTAAATTTTGTTTCTTTTTCAGAGGAGTGAATGTCATCCCTTTCCTAGAGTTCATTGGATTACCTGACAGTGTAGTAGACATTCTGAAAAACTCCCAAAGTGGAAATGCCCTGACAGCATATGCCATGTTTAAGGTGGGTTCCTCGAACACCCAACAACCTACACACTCCCTGTAAAACTCACATTGAGCTGTGAATTTTATATATGTATATGGATAATTTAAATATCCTAGTTCACATTTTATATTTCTAATGAACAACAAGTACAAGAATAAAACTATGGCTTTAGGAAGCAGTGCCTTAAAAATAGGTAAGCTGCTGGGCATTGGTGGTGCACACCTTTAATCCCAGCACTCGGGAGGCAGAGGCAGGTGGATCTCTGAGTTCGAGGCCAGCCTGGTCTCCAGAGCGAGTGCCATGATAGGCTCCAAAGCTACACAGAGAAACCCTGTCTCAAAAAACCAAAAAAAAGGTAAGTCATAATCTGCCATGCTCAGGCGTCCTCCTGCCCTGACTTGTTACTGAAATCTAGCATTTGTTTTATTGCTTATAATAGTTATCCTTCCTTAGCAAATGGGATTGTGAAGGCCCAAGTCAAACTGTTTTGTGTGACACACTTCAGGCTTAGTTCTTAAATGTTCTCATTTTAGAGGGTCTGTCATTACTCAGGGTGTACACAGTGTTGCCTTTATATAAAGTTTCTGTACCCAAATGCCTTTATTGTAGAAGGGAAGTCTCATTGTATATCATAGAATTTAGCTATATTAATCTCATTTTTCATTTGAAAATGCAAGATTCTATGATTATCTATATCCAAATAAAATGAAAAATTTGAGAAAATAGGTGTTTAATGATGTTGTAAAAAAGTACATAGAATAATGACTTATAGTATTATTCAGAAGTAGTATTTGAGATCTGAGATCCCAGGTAGTTTTTCTCAAAGCTTAATTGCTGTCTTTTTCTTGCATTAAATTCATAGTGCTTTATAGCTATGGTAGGTTAAATTTAACCATCATACATCAGAGTACATGGTGGTAGTTTAAGTCATTTTTTTCTGACTCCTTCATAGTATCTGATTTAAGTGTGTGTGTTTTTTTTTTATGTACTTATGAACTCCCAGGAATTCAGAGGCCTGTGTTTGTTTTTGCAATCTCTGGTGTACTATTAGGTGCATTAGTGCTTAGCATATTTGGAAATCTACAAACCCTGTGGACAGCACCGGATCACCCCCTCCCCCCCGTCCCGTCCCTCTGTAGGGTGAGAAATGGAGTATGTGCCTCAAGTAGAACAGCAGAGATGCCTTCTTCCTTAAGGCAAAGCTCCAAAGTGAGGTATGATAGACATAAGGAAAGAGTGCTGGCAGCCAGCTGGGTACACATGAGCGCTCCCTCAAATGCCCTTTCACATGCACTATGGTTTGCTCAGATTTAGCCAGCTCTGACTCCATGCCAGGTGCCATGCCAGGGACCAGGAATTCATTGATTAAAGAAAACACTGTTGGACCAGGTATAGTGGAGCACACCTTTAGTTCCAGCATTTGGGAAATAGGAAGCGGCTCTCTGAATTCAAGACCAACCTGATCTACCTGGTCTACATGATAAGTTCCAAGACAGTGAAACCTCTTTTTTTTAAAGGGGGAGAGGGAGACGACACTGGCAAGTACCTCCCAAATAGAGAATATATTCTAGGGAGTAAGACTGGGTGGGTCATGGGGAATTGGAGAAACAGAAAAGGAGGGGTTGAAAATACTCAAACATGCATGCACACACACACGTGTGTGCATAAGAACATATATATGGCATATGTATATTTAAATTATACTAAATGTTGTTGAATATTAAGAAGAAAGAATATATACTGGACAGTGGTGGCACATACCTTGAATCCCAGCATTCTAGAGGCAGACACAGGCAGATCACTGTGAGTTTGAGGACAGCCAGAGTTACACGGAGAAACTAGTCTCAAAAGAGGAGGATGTTAAGAGCACTTGATGGTCAGTTCTATAGGGTCCCAGTACCCTCCTCCTTTGACCTCTGTGGGTACTAGGCACACATGCAGTGTGCAGGCAAAACACTCATACACATAAAATAAATATCTTAAGGATAAATCAGATAGGGAGGTGTTTGGTGTGTGTTAGTTTTTTTTGTTATTGTTCACACCCCCACCACTATAACCCCAGCCCTCCCAGATTGCAGATTTAGATGGGAGGTGCCCTGAGCAGTTAATAGATTAATCTTGGAGCTGAGTTGGGATGGGGGTCCCAGCAGAGGAAGTCTTGAGGACTACAGGATGCTAAATGGTAGAGGGCTAGCTAGGAGCCATTATGGCTAGAATGAGCAAGAGAGGCAGAAAGTCTGTCCACATCAAGTGTGTTACAAGAAAACTATTAGTAACTTTAAGTATTGACCTCAAATTCCTGCAGCTGCTATATTGAGAATAGGTCGGGGTAAAAACCAAGGCATCAGATGTCTGCACCCTAGGGGTAGCCAGAGAGGCAGTCAGAAGCAATTGGATAGTGGATATGTTTTAAAGAAACTAATGGGCTTTCCTAACAATATGCATACAAATTATGTTAAAGAAACGGATTAAGAGCTATTCATTTTGGCCTGAGTAGCTGGAAGAACAAAGTTGCCATTTCCTGTGGTGAGTAAAATTTTGGGAGAAGCAGGTCTGGGTGGGACAGTTGAGTTCAGTGACTTTGTGCATACTGACTTTTAAAATGGAGTCGGATGTGCAATTTTAAATGATTTAGGTAATTCGCTATATGGATACTTGAATTCAGGGAAGGGGTTCAATATGGAGATGTAAATTAAGAATTCTTAATATATAGATGGCGTCAAAAGCATGAACCTGGACAGACCATCTTAGAGTGGGCCCAGGCTGTTCACAGGTTAATGGTGTGGTCTCACAGGGGCTATTAAAACTAAATTAACAAGAGCAGGTTGGTGGGAATAAAGAACAATTTCAAGAATGGAGGGAACATAGGAGTTACTTTCCAAATGTTTCCATTCTAATGTGCCTACTTGGCCACTTGGTACCATGTGGCCATTTGCTTTTGCAAAGCCCTTCCACTGCTTCAGGTCTCTTGGTTTTTGTCCTTGCTTTTCTGATAGAATAAAGGGCTGTAGTGAGATGGTGACAGGCATGCAGAAAGAGTTAAAGGGAGATATATGTGAGAGTGGAGCAAAAGTGAGTCCAGCCAGGAAGCAGCTGACTCTTGCCCAGCCTCCTGCTGTTTGAACTCTGGCTGCATTTTAGCTCCAGGTATGTAGTCCATGGCAGAGATTTTAGGGCACCTATGTTACTGTATTGCTGTTAGCAGAATCTCGGTCTGCAGGCCTCTCCCCACACTCATTGGCATTCATTAGGGTGTCAGTACATCTTTGTGTCTGTGATAACCCTGAAATCCTAAGTAATATGGTCTGAGGACAGACATTTTAAAATAAGTCTGCAGAAAAAGTATCCCTTGTTAGAAAGACAATGATAGGATATTGTTTTCTCTCTCAGACAGAGTAGTGTATGCTGATGATTACCAAAAACTTCCAGTTCCAGCTTAATTCTGTTTGTAGTCATAATCAGGTGTTGATCTGCCTCTTCACTTTGTTTTCCTTCCCTCAAGATTGCAACACCTGCCCGCTACACAGTGACCTTGGGAGGAACGTCCTTTACTGTGAAGTATTTGAGAAGTCATGGCTACATGTCAACCCCACCACCTGTCAAGGAGTATTTGCAGGACAGAATGGAAGAGACTAAGGAGCTCATCACAGAGAAAATGGAGGAGACGAAGGATAGACTTACTGAAAAATTACAAGAAACCAAAGAAAAAGTTTCTTTTAAGAAAAAAGTAGAATAAGGGTGCCTTATGTAAGATGTTACAGAAAACCCCATACTTTAACCCTCTGGAGACTCTGGGCAAAGAACATGTTCTGATTTTTTTTTTTTTTTTTTTTTTGGTTAGAAACCTAAATGTATCAGTCCTCTGAGGGTTAAGGAACAAAGATTGGTTTTGTTTTTAAGTAACAGTGGGGGGGTGGGGAATCAATGTTTTTCAAAATGAAATGACCCCAGTATAAAAATTAGTTGCAGCAATAAGCAGTAGCTAATGTCCCAAAAGTCAGGGTTCCTGTTCCATCTCCTCAGAATCAAATTTGCTTCATGCTCTCTAACACCTGCAGTGTGTGTACTGGGCAATCCACTCCTAGAGTGACAGTCACTAAGTGCCCACTTCTGTGGCGATGAACTTAACTGTTCAGACTCTGGGTGAGAGACTGGAGAAGTTACCTACCAGTTAACATGTGACCTTATTTCAAGGAGGTTGTATAAATCTAGTCTTATATTTATAAGTAACATATATTGGTTATGTGATGAAATGGACCCTGTAAAATGGTTTTTAACTGGAGCTTGTCAAAAATCACATTTTTAAAGCAAATTCTTTTTCAAACTTGACTGTGCATGGTGGTTGGACACTTGAACTGTCAGACTTTCTTATAGCTCACTTCTGTCTTTAGCTAACCTATGGAGGACAGTGAAAGTTTTATATAAACTTTGTTATTGAAATCACATGTATCAGCAACTCAAGTTGACTGTTCTTAACTACATCAGGCTTTGAAAGACCGCTGCTGCTTTTGACAGGAGCGAGTCTAACTGTGTACTTGAGAGTGGAAGCTCATGGTGGGGCCTGTGGAAGACAAGTGGGCAGTGCACCTGGCTTCGTCTCAGATCTCTCCTACTACTTCAACCCTGGTGGGATTTTGGTCCTTATATCCCTGGTCAGAGGCCTGTCTGTCATGGGTACCAATAGAATTGTGCTTAATATTTCTCATATTGGAAGGGAAAATTACTGCTTAAATATTGGGCTTGATTGTTTACAGCATGTAATGAATCAGTGGCTGTCAGGCAAGTCCCATGCCTGTAGAGTGTCTGTTTGTGTGGGGTCTTTCCTTCAGGTCTAACCCTTGGTTGACACTGGAGCAAGAAATGGCCTCTTTAGGGGCCTTGGTTTTGACTTGCCATCAGGAGAATGTCATATAGCTATCCTATGCAGTCCCTGCTTCATGACAGGATTTATGGCAAATGCATGAGTTAGCCAGATTTAGAGAATGAGGGGATAACTTCACATTTGAAACACCCAGGCATTATACTGAAACACTTTAGTGAAAATGCTATGCTTGGAGTCTTCTGGGTTGGAAGAATTATAGAGGGGATTTGTCACGGGTCTCTGCTCCTTTGTTCGTTGGCAGCATGATTAATCTGAGGCAGAGTTCAGTGCATTGCTACAAATTGATGGCATACTTTCAGATATAATCAGGACAACACACTTTAGCATGCTTATTAAACAGTAAGATACTAAATACTGATGTACTAACATTTCTCCCCTTTGAAACAACCAAGAATGTCATGCTAAATGTGGGGATATATAGAATTCTTTCTCCTAAAATCTTTTACCTGTCTTAGTGTGTAGGACATATCATCTAGTGGAGGTAATTTGAGAGCTTTTAAGACATTGCTATTAATCATGAGGCTGCAATTTTCTTGTCCTGAGTGGATATCTTCTGCCAAGTCATTCAAGTCTTACCACCATCCAGTTTTATGAATTGTTTCTCCCCGATTACAGCAAATGAGGAGCTACCTGTATGTGCTTTTAAATCCAGTGAAAAAGTCTCTAAGATTTGAGAAGTTGTAGTGTTACATTTGGCATCAGAGATGTCATAAGATACTGTTGCCAATATTATCCTTAAAGCAAGCAACAATCAACTTGTAGGAGGCCCTGCAATGTGTTTAATAGCAGACAGCAGTAACACATCAACTTAAATTATCAAAATGTATAATATAGGTTTTGTATATGCTGAACTGCATTTTATTTACATCTGATCTTGCATTTCTGTTAGCTGCAAGGGAAATCAGGAAACTCCATGTCTGGTGTGCACATTTATCCTTTTGAAAGATAAGTTGGTGTCATGAATGAAGCTGTGACTGATATTTATTTTTTTTAATGGACAGAAAACATTTGCCTAGCAAATTAATAAGTTCAAATGAAAATGGATTAGGTAAGAGGTTTGGTTTGTTAAAGAGTAAGATGAAAACCAGCCTTTTAAAGTATTACATCTTATTGAGAGCCTTTTGTGCATAATAGGTTGCTGTTTGGATTTCACCAAAGAGAAAAGTATGTATATTAGGATTAGCCTTCTCCTCATAGTGAAATAATAAAACTAAGAGTTCAAATATTCCTGAGTTTTCCATTGTAAATTCGCCTCCATCTTCTCATTCACAGATGAAAGAGCAAAGCTCTTTATGTTTGGGGTGAGCTGCAGCTGGACAGCTGTCTTGTTTCTGTGGTCTTAGACCATAGTTCTAGGAATCTCAAGCATCTTTATAGTATGGGCAGAAGTAGTGTTGGAAGAAAATGAAGCTATATTTTAGACACATTGGGCTTCTTTTAATGTCCTTTGCACTGGGTTCAAGTCTTCAGTATTTCATAACTGCTTCAAATATAAACCAAGCTAATCTTTCTGAGTTCCTTTTGAAATAGAGAATTTTTGCAGTACACACACGCATTTTGTTGTTGTTGCTGTTGTTAAAGGGCTCCTAAAAAGAGGTTGTTGTAGAATTAGAGGAACAATATATTCTTGGTAGCTACAGTTCATTTGCTGAAATACTGTTTCAGATTTTCAAAACTGAGTCTCCATAAGACCTAAAATAAGGTAAATTTAAGTGTTCCAGCGTTCTTTCTGACCTACTTAAGTACCCTTCTTTCATCCACTTACTTGTTGGCATTAAGAGCTCACTGCTTAGTTTACCAAGGGACATGGTGTCAGATTCATCCAGGCGTTGGCCCCATATCTGATTAACACATGAGTATATGTGGAGGGAGTTGTGGGTCTCTGAATTGGAAATTTGCAGAACAGGAGTGGGGAAGGCAGTGAGAAGAGTGTCCCTCATCCATTCTTCAAATAAGAACTGTGCTTTGTCTCCACTGGCCCATGTGCATATTATTTGCCAATTTAGTATTAAGTAGAGTTTCCATGAGGAAGGAAGGAAGGAAGGAAGGAAGGAAGGAAGGAAGGAAGGAAGGAAGGAAGGAAAAAGAGGTCATATACCCAAAGGACAGCAAAGTCCTCATCCTTCCTGGTAATTGGAATGGTCAAAGGGTTACTCCTTTCCCAGAATTTCTCTTTCTCCATGAACTTTGGTATGGCCCTTGTAAGACAACTTTCTCTTAAATTGTGAGTTTCTCACAGTTAAATGCTGAGGTAGGCTCACTGGATTAATTTTTTCCCTCAGATTTTTTTTTCTTTGTGACTTCTATGTCCTTTGTTCATTCTGAGTAGTCAAAACAAGTTTTTGATTGCCCTGCATCTCCAGGATTGAGCTTTGAAAATTAAGGTGTATTCTTCCCTATTCATCACTAATAGTCACAAACAGAAATTACAGATCCTAATTATTCTCTGGCAATTATTTGGTCATTTAGATAAGACTGATCTCTTAGTAGGAAAAATGCATCCTGATTTTAGAGCCCTTGAGGGCAGAGTAGGACATGGTTTATTCTGAGGATTTGCTTGAATGGCCTTGATGGGAGGTAGATTCACTCAATATGGCTTCTTACAGAGTGAGCTATGGGGGAGGGCATCATGCTGTTTTCTCTGGGAAGTCAGCCTAAAGGACAAACCCTGCATAGTGAGAAGAGTATGACTCCCTGCCACAGCCTGCTTCCTGCATCTTAGTTTTCCTCAAAGTAGAGATTAGCTGGACCCTTTCTTTTCCTCCTTTTCCACCTCCCTTTGTCTAGCCTTTTCTGTCTTAAATTGTGACTGATTTAAATGTTGGCAAACACTGATAGGAGGACACATGGGCAGGGCATGTGCTCCGTGCAAGTCTACCAGCAAGTCTGGGAAGCACAGTTCTTGGTCAGGTCAGTGTGCACAACACTGGCCTTCTTCTGGGGACCCAAAGCATCCAGCTGCAGCATCCGATGGACCCAGCAGTTTCTACAGCAACAACATTGAAACCTAATTTTATCCTTATTGTTTTAATAAGATGAAATTTCCCATGTTAATCCATCCATACACATAGTAAAAGGTACTTTCTGCCATATTTTGACAATTCCATAAAGATTCTACACAAAATAATGGCAATTCCATATCATCCTTTTCCAATTAAATGTTAACTCTTAACCCTGGATTTGATTTTAGGAAAGGCAGCAGTGTTTATATGAACTTAGTTTCAGCTGTTGCCTTGTTTGCACCTCTGCGTGCTAGATTGGAGATTTTATGAAAAGCATATTTTTACTCATTTGAATCCATACTTCCTTAGAATTCATTGCTTTATTTCTCTCATACAATGGGTGCTGGGCATCCTTACCTGCTTGGTATTCTGCCACGACAGTGTGATATAGGGGCTCTGTTGCCCAGGTCTTCAGACAACATATACATTCTGTTACCTTGGTGAAGCAGAGGCAAGTTATAGGAGACACACAGCTTATATATTCTGTACTTCTTTTAACCAGTAACAAACAGGTGTGCGTTGCCCCAAAGTAAAAAAAAAAAAGTCAAATATGTCCACAAACCTAATAGTATTTGTTGAGCAAGCTAGACCATTCATTAGTTGCACTGATGAATGATTGTAGCTTTTACCTTTGTTTAGGCTTAGAGAACTGTAGAATTTAACACTGGTAAGTCTTGTTAGGACATTGAAGCCATGTTTTGGTTGAAGAAAAAAAAAAAAAAACTTGTGTCTGAAGTTCAGCCAGTCATTACTCATGTGGTCCCTTTCTCCTATGGCAGGTACTTAAGTGTGCCAGGTCACACTCTTGATTAAAGGAAAGTAAAAGTCAAGTCAGTTCATTACATTTGCCAGTATTACATAGCTTGCCTCTTCTGCTGATACCTTTCTTTTGGCTTTTAACCTTGTAACTTAACTTCTTTTAGGCTCTACTCTGTTCGTCTTTTTAGAGTGATCTGAAAGGGAGACAGTTAAACTGTCGTGTGAACTTATTAGAGCTTTGTTTTCCCCTTATCTGGGCTGGGCTTGGGGGTGGGGAAGCTAAAGCTCCAGTCTTACTCTGTCCTCTGTCACCATCTAGTGAAGTCGCCTTAGCAAAGCCTTCATGTTGCAATTTTCACACACCTAAATCCACATTTGAAAACTTAGTTTTTCTTCCAGTCATATAATACCTTTTGCCTTTTCCTAATGACCACATTTGAAAACAATGAAGGAAAACCTCAATCAAGCCTAGATTTTATACATTAAGTATAAATAGTAATGTAAACTATTTCATACATCAGAGACCACTTGGCCTCAAGAAATTTTCTGATTGTCTCCTTGGTTCAAATGAGTTCACCTTTTCCTTCCTGCCCATGTATAGTACTAGACAGTGGTCCTGGTGTCCGAACCTGTGACAGTGCCATACTTGAAGGTAGCTGAGACTGATTTTTCCATTTAATTGCTGCCAATTTCTAGAAGCTCTGAAGCCATCAGAAACTGCTATTTTTGGTGCAGTGAAGTTCAAGATATCCTTAGGAAATATGAGGTTTCACCAAAATCGAGTGCTTGCCCTCTCTGAATCCCATGAAAAAGAAGGGTAAAAGCCTATCAGTCATTTGTTAAGAGGACAGATTTCCTGTGAGGTATTCTCAGCACCATAAAATGAAAACAAAACTCCAGGCACTCCCACACAACTGTGTGCAGCAAAGTAAGTGTGTTCTTCACTGCCTTGGCAGATGGGTGCCTTATGTGCAAGTAACAGCCTCCACAGGACCTGCAGCTAGAAGATAGTGTGACTAATATGCCCATACCTTCAAGTTGGACAGCAAAAGCAATAGGACCTAGCTAGCAAGCAGCTGCCACTTCATGTGAACACTGAGGGTGTGGTGGGCTGCTGTCTTAGGTGGTCCCTTGTCTTTAGCTCTGCTTGGCTGAAACAATTGTACATGCTTTATAGATGGGAGTTTGGAACTAGTTTCAGCCAGGGACATTAATTACCTGAGGTGAGCTCTTGAACCACCTAAAGTCTGCTGGGCCCAAGGTCTGATCTGCTCTTTGCCGTATGTAGGAAATGTTTATAAAACCAAGTCACCTCGGAACCCCACACCAAAGATGCTGTGGCAAATAGTATGTCCCAACTTATCTCAGGGTAGTGCGAGATTCTCAGCACATGGGAACCAAGTTGGGCTGGTGGCCCCTGGAAGAGTGAGGTGGCCTGGCTGTGCTTGGGCTTTTGACATGCTTGCTGTTTGGTTTTGTGCTCACAAATGGTTGGTAACTAAAGAAATACTAAGTGAGAACATGTTGGACAGGTTAAATTATACGAGCCAACAAATGTAAAACTGCAGTGTTTAAGGTTAAGGGAATTCCTGACATCAAAGGCAAGAATTTGGGGGTGTGGTTTTAGTGCTCACTGTTGCAGGCACAGTATTAGAACCAGCTTTTGGTCTTCATGCCTTTTTTTTTTTTTTTTTTTTTTTTAGAAGTGAGAGTAAAGCAGAGCAAATCAAATTTGCATTTCTGGGGCAAAAGTTAATGTCTTGACAGAAATACAGCATTTAAAACTGAATTTCCAAATACAAAGGCTTGCCTTTGGGGCTGCTGTTTCCACTATGCATTTTAATTAGAATATGTATAAGTCAACCAGATCAAAACAGTACAGTGAGGGAAATCTAACTTGTTTTCAGTAGCAGGTTTCTTCTAAACTATTAATGCAAGTATTGTCACAGAGAAGCAGAGTTGGTCTTTTCACTCAAAGAAGGCTCAGGGAGGGGGGGGGGGGGGGGGCGCGGGAACTGGGATTGGAATGTAAAAAATAAATTAATAAAAAAAATGTTTAAAAAAAAAGCCCAGGGTGAGTTGCTGTCTGAAAGGTCTGTGTTTTCTGCATCAGGCCTTACCAGAAGACTTCAGAGCTTGCTAAATCCTCAGACCTGGGCAGAAGAATGCGACAAGGCATTCTTCCATTGTGAGTGGAGTCTTCAAGGGCTCAGCCTTCCTGTTGTGTCAGCACCTGTTGCTCAGCAATGCCTCCTGGCGTCCTCCTGCTTCCCCTGCAGCAGCTCGAGAACCACCTGGGTTAGACTTTTTGAGAGGAACTCAAATCTCTAGAACTGAGGTGATCAGTATCAGTGGCAGAAGGAAGGGAGAGCCTAGCACCTGACCTCATTTGCTCACACTAGTGTTGGGCTTGGGAGATCTGGGCACAGATGAGCTACTGCACTGATAATTTCTCTGAGAGCAGTGTGGTCTGCTGGTGACTAAGGATGAGAGTCCCTTTCTTTGCTTAAGTTTTATAATCCCCTCACCAAAATAACCTCTCTGAATCTACGATGGACAGTACAACTAAAATTTGGGCCCACACACTTATTCCAGTAAGATCTTGAATTTTTTTTCCATTTGTTTATTACAAATTTACAGAAATAGAAAAATAAATCTTTGTACTATCATGCTAAATCACTTATTCTCATTGTTTGGTGGGTTGTATGGGATTTGTGCATACATGTGTCATCTAGAATCCACACTTACTCAGAGCACAGACAAAATCCTCTCCTCTCAGTGTAGAACATAGACCATCTGAAGGCCTCTACTGTCAGGGAATCCTAAGCTTGCGGTGTGACTGTCATTCAAAGCCCTGATGGGGTCAGATGTTCTCAGGAACAAGTTCTGAATGTTCCATGTTAGAACTCAGAATTGAGAATTCTGTGATTCGATCTATCCAGGTTTACAGCACACAAGGAAAGCCTTTTAAAAAGTCAGCCACCAGCCCATGACTGAAGGCCAAGCTTGACAGTTTAAGTTGCATTCTTGGAACTTAACTTGGTGGAGGATGGAGGGAACCGACTCAAGAAGGTTGTCCTCACCACACACCAGCTGTGGCACATGTGCACATATGTGTGTGCACACACACTCATAGAAATATTTTTCTTGAGTCAGTAACTTAAGAATGCTTAGCAGTATCCTTTGGGCTGCGGTAAAAAAAAAAAAAAAAAAAAAAGTATTTTTCTGAGATTGATCATACATCAGTCTTCTGTTACTTGCATGTCGTAGCTGAAAGATGAACAAACAAAACCCCAGGGAACAGGTATTTGTCACTGATTATTTTAATGATTTTGTGCTATGATTTGACCATGGCATTAAGAACAAGCAGAAAACCTGATTTCATAACTAACAAACAGCACTTGTGCAACATCTTTCATCAAAAGTATTGCAATTACAGACCTGAGGTCTAAACTGCATCGCCACCTGGGCAAAAGATGCAGGTGGATGACAGTTGTGAGTCATTTCCTGTATATAACCAGGAATTATGGTAAAGAGTAAGCATGTGGTTGTTTAAACACAAAGGGACTCTTTGACTTCTGATTATCATAGCTCACAAAGATCAGAAGATGCAAATACAGTTGTACTTTTTTTAGTAGATTGCTTTATAATAAAAATTAAATGAACTAAATGTTGTGGATAGTGTTGTATATATTTTTAAAACAACGTTAAACTCAGCAAGGATATTGGTTGAAACAGATTTTTGAAAGGAAAGCACTGCAGATAGAACCAGCATCACTGAGAGGGATGATCAGCCAGGGCCGGGTCTGCGGGAAGCAGTCTGGCTGGTCAAACATCTCACTTGTGAGTCCACAACATTATGGTGCTCAAAGTGCCCATTTTCTGACAGCAACTGAGCCTCAGCTCTTGACCTCGGGAATCCTGAGGGTGTGCCCTGCAGTAGACAGACATTTAAGTTGGTCTTGGATAGGACTTAGGAGGTATCCACTGTCATTTTTACCCAGCTCTTGCAGGGAAGTGTTAAAGAGGACCAAATTGGCATTAAGAGTTGCACATTAAGAATAATTAGTAATAGCTTAGAGCAATTTTTCCCTGACTTTCAAAGTCAGAGCACATACCACAGAATAAATAAATAAGCATGGAATTACTCAAATATCACCTGGTGACATACCGGATTAGATTGGATGCCAGCATTCCATGGATTGCCTTTATGGATAGCACTTAGTATCCATGGTGGTTTTAATGGACACCAAGGCTTCCCTAGAAGGGGGGGGGGTAGAGGGGGGGAGGGAGAGGAGGAGGACAAAGAGGAGGAGGTGGTGGAGGAGGAGAAGAAGAAAGAAGACGATGATACTAGAAGGAGGAGAAGAAAGAAAAGACTAGGAGGAGGGGAAGAAAGGAAGGAGGAGGAGAAGGAGAAGGGGGAGAAGAAGAAAGGAGGAGGAAGAGGAGAAGAAGAAGAAGAAGAAGAAGAAGGAAGAAGAAGAAGAAGATGATGATGATGAAACGAAGGAACTTTAAAACTTTAAAGTGCCAAAGCCATAATCAGACACTACAAACTAAACTGGAGCTGGAAGAGACAAGTGTGACTTTTCATGCAGCCTAACATAATTGTTTTAGAGGTCAAGACCACCACAGAACACAATAGGAATGGACCTATGGGTCTGTACTCAGCTGATGGGCAATTCTCTAATGACAATCCAAAACATTTTCCCTACCCTAACCTTCCCCAATCTGTTTTCTGAGGCGCACACTCCCTACAAATTCCAGACAGTCCATTGGCTCCGTAGCTTCCATTTATAAGACAAGGCACAGAGAAACATGGGACACAAATGGTCACAAGTGCCCTGAGGCTGAACAGCCAGCCTCTGCTGTAGGTTACTCACTTTCCTGACACCATGGGTGTCATCAAAGGTTTGCACATCCCACTGAGGCCTGACACTGATACTACAGGGAGAGAGAAG